TATGCCACATGTAGTTGAAACGATGATGCCTAGATATGTGTATCCAGTTGATAGGGACTGATGCTTGTTGTTGCTGTTGGTTGATTATCTTCTTCGCCACTGTCTTCCCCATAAGTTACTTGAAGTCCTAACTTCACTGCCTCTTCTGCTAGCTGGTTGGTTTTTGCCTTAAGGTCTTCGAGTTTATGTGACATGCGAAATCCGGATCTTCCAGAATCTTCTTATCGGTGGTCCAGTGTATTCTCGTCTTCTGACTGCCCACAGTCTGACGCATAATCCACTCGACCACAATTAAGAATATTATTTATTTGTGATAACAGGCAGCCATGTCTTACTCCCGCATTCATTTCTAGGGCTTCACTGAGTTTTTGTTGTGGATCATTTGACATGTAACATTGTCATGTAGCTGTTGAATGGGGTTGATAAAGATTTGGAGCAGACCATAGGGTTGAAGTAGTTTGCAAGTTAATTCATAGCTAACACTGTCGAAGGCATGGGTAAAGTGGTGGGATCACTACAGTTCACATAGACAATTACCACACACCTGCTTTGACTGGATGTGTGTGTGTGTGCGTGTGTCTACAAAATGACAGTAAGGTCAGTCTTTAACTCCACTACTGGTTTTACCTCACTAAACTGGCTTCGATTTTATGTAGTTCAGTCTCATTACATGTTACACAACCTGTTGAGTTGGTATTATTTCTTTTCCGCTTTACAATGAATGTTTCTTCCATTTAAAATGCACACCCACTACTGACAAAGTGCAGCATATTGTTATTCACACGTAATCATTTAAAATGAGGACATATATTCATGTTTCGACTCGCACATATTACATTATTACATCATGCTTAGTTGGTTTGTTTCTTCACCAACTTGGTTATAGAAATAACGTCTAGTAATTAATTAACCGTTAACATTCCTTTATTCAGTTTGTTTTTATAAGAACCTATTGCGTAATCTACTTGCCCCAGTACATTTTACCTACACTTTGAATTAATTACACAATTCAGGCTAAATGAAGAAGAAAGTAAAACAAATTTTAAAAAGTAAACAGAAGGAGAGAAATCTTTCTTGAATAAAGATTTTTTTTCAGTAAGACTACCAAACTTTCGTCAAATATTTATTCATTTACTCTGTATGTGTTGTTTTTTTTTCTCACGTTTTTTAAAGATTTCACTCAAGAACAAAGAAAGAAACGTGTAATGTCATCCTGTTTCCCTCTGCTTTGAAATGCTCAAGCTTTTGTTAGCTTTTGTTTGTCATGCATGCATATACAGACAGAAATCTACCGTGTATTAGAGACCAATCATAAATAAGTCTTGTGCTATCTGACCTTGAAGTCTGAAATCTATCGATTTTCTATAACTTTATAGTTGATTTGTGTGTGAGATTCTAGTGCCGTTTTTAATAATGACAGTACTTATGCAACTGTCTCCTAACATGAAGGCATCTAGTTGCATCCTAGTATAATCAATGTGTGAATTAAGCGGAATGTATTAAATAAAAGTAGCCCCTAAGGTGGTAAAAATTATTTTCACAGTTTGATGCTGTCAGCTTTGAAAGAGATTTAGACACAGACAGTAAGAGGACATTACCATCTACATAACTTATTCTGACAACTTAACAAACTGATAGTTCACTTTTAATATTTTTTTGTGTACAACAGATTGTTTGTGAAGAAAGGGTTTACGTCTGACGTAAACGCTTGGTAAACACACTAAATTTAACAGTTGTTTTAATCTAACATAAGATAACAGTAAAACATCAAAACATTTCAGCGTCACTAAATCAGAGAAAAGACTCCGTCATCGCTACCATTCAAAAATCATGACCAGTTTTAAGTATTGAACAGTTAACGCTTAGGCAACCTGTTTAAATCACTAAGCTACCGAAATTTCCTATCCATCAGAATGTGCCGCGTTTTTATTCTGTTTTATATTGTTTTGATGGTCTGATTACCTCAATGAGTCACAACTCATACGGGTTGGAGGATTTCATCATGAGCTGACATCATTTAGAAAACCATTGGAAAACCTGGGAGTACTGGACAGCTGTTTCGTCCTAGTTTGGGACTCTTCATCAGTACGCACTCACTGGGGTGCGAAGGTCCAGGACCAGTGGGTGCATAATGTGAAGAGTCTCAAACTACGACAAAACAGCTGTCCAGTACTCCCATGTGGTTTTCCAATGGTTCTCTAACTGATGTCAGCTCATGATGAAATCCTTCAAACATTCAAAGAAAATCCCTACAAAACCAATACTTGACAATTCATACTCGCTCACAATTTCAAATAACTTCCCACCTACAGCTAGGAATTTTTTGAAGGAAATGGAGAAAGAACATTGTGAAGTAGTACTGGAGCAAGCTTCCAGTAGAACAGTATTGCTTCGGATGACAAATCGATTATTTTATTATCTGAAGATTCTTCACAAGGAGTAAATGCATTTCAATGAAACTTACTGAAAATTCTGTATTGTGTATAAACGCATTTTTTCAGAATAGAGCTATCATTATTATTGTTATTATTATTAGAACTGAACCCATCACATTTGTATTGTGATAATACTAGATCTACTGTGACGTCATTAGGCCCATATCTTAGCACTAACTGTTATATCATTTCTTCAGTTATGAATGTTTACAGTATTCTCATTAAAATTCGTACGGCATCCTTAGTTATTACTATATTTTGGAGGGATTCCGAGGACGTTCACATAAGGGATGAGCAGTCTGACAGTCCATCCTTACCTAAGGTCTTCTGGCTTCAGTGTCAGTTACAGTGGGTACAGTTAAAGAGAAGATACGATTCTTATTTCGGTGAACAGAGTTTTACTTGGATAATAAAATTACTGGGGTAGTTATAGTATCTCAGCTAAAATGAAGGTTTGTCGAAACAATTAGATCTAGGGAAACCTACGGAAGGTCATTGCAGGTCATATCATCCTTTCGTGAGGGTAAGTTTAGTATTCTTTTTACTCATTAGGGGTCAAGTAAGACTTTAAGCATCTCTAACTACCAATCAGCGAGTGACCTTAATTGGCCCAATGATTTTCATCCACGTGAGCTGAAGGTTCTATTCCGCTTGATTTGAGTCAGATTTCAGGGAAGGTAAGCTGATGATTCTAATATTTCGTAGGAAAATGTTTTGCCAGGTCCCACTTATCCTTAACCCAGATTTTGTATATATGTAGTTACTGGGTTTTAAAATAGCCGGTGAGAAGTGTAGCTGCTGAAACAGAGACAATAGTCTCCTATCAACAGTTCAGTGGTAACAGCACTGCAGAGATATCACGTCATGGAAAGTGGGGAGAATTACTTCGTTATTAGGAGGAGAAGGTGTCATCGTACACGTGGATGAGTGGAAAGGTTATAAATACCTGTCATCCCTTGGATATATTCACCACAGAGTGAACCACTCTAATGATTTTGTGGATCCCATTACAGGGACACACATCAGTTCCATATAAGGCTTTTGCGGAAGGTTAAAATCAGGATTAATCGATTTCAAACGCATGTCATTTATATTCATTTAGATGAATATGTGTATGAAATGTGGTGTAACCTTCCAACTGATAATCCTTTGCTAAACTGGGAGATGTTTTTGCCACATGTCAGAGAAAGGTATCCTATGAAACATTTTTATAGTTTTTGATAAATATATGTTTTCCATAACTAAAAATGTCCCCTTCGTGTGGTCGGTGCGTTCAAGGTCACTCTCTAATTGTCAGTTAATGGTGCTTAAAGTGTAACTTTACCTCACTAAGTGATTTTTCTGTTGAGGTCTAACCTTAAGCTTAGAGTTCAGGGTTGGGGGTAGATAAAAGAATTGAGTCGGGAACATCAATAGATCCCAAAGTACCATAGTTTGTAATCACCAGGAGGAATACGTACATCGTGCACAGTATGATTACTCTACTGTTTTTCTTTGGAATAACTGAGAGACTTTGTTATAACACGTAACATACAATTATCCAGTATAATATCCTGTTTGATATACTTTTCAATACATTTTTTAACGATTGTGACTTTTATGCACCTTAATTCTGATCGGCTGTTTAGGATGATTGCGACTTTCCCTCTGATACTTTAACTTCGCCAGATTACTTTTCCAACGTCTTATATGTTTTACATCTGTTCAAGGAGGGTTTAGTATTTTCCTTTCAAGGTTTTCACATTATAATGGATTTCATTGAATTTCTGACTGGATTTCTCCCCAACACTATACTTTTCCTCTGCAATACAACAATTATGGTTGTAATGATCACTGAATGTATGTACTGCACATGCTTATTCTTTTGAATTTCTAACAAAATAGACTTGGTGTCATGATATCTCATACATGCGAAATTAAATGAAAACATTATTGAAGAATCTAGAAAATACCTCGATAACTTTGGACTACTTTGAAGGATTTCAGTAGTATAAATAATTTTGTTAAAAAAGTTAGTTGTGAGTGGAATGTTGACAGGTAGTAAAATGTCTACTCTTCTTATTATATATTTGATTAAATAATTGCAACTGATATATCAGTTTATTTCCTGATTTAATCGTCCTCGACCAACAATATGAAAGTGGAGAATGCATCGTAAGATAAGTTTTTCTTCGTATACTAAATGCCACTACAAAATATGACAGATATGAGGAACAAAATGTCGACAGACGTAGCATGGAACTAGTAATGCACGAATAGCAGTATTATGAGTCATTTATACAGATGATTTACTCTCAGTTATAAGCTACCTGTATGAAGAAGGAGTTGGGAAATGCTTGATTGACAGAAGAACTATTTGGGATTAATGTGGCGAACACACTGACGCTTACGTTTATTGTTTTCTCCCATACAGGTGCATTTTGTGTTTTAAGAAACGATTGACTGTGGAGGAATATTTTAAACATTTAACACGAGAAAAATCCTCAGAAATCACACCGACAATAAAACAAATAGTAGCAACGAATAAATGAACAGTGGGAAAATGTAATGTTCAAATTAACTTACCTCTATGATCTGATCTCCAGCTTTGAGGCCAGCTTTTTCAGCATTTCCATCTGTCGAAATAAACAAGGGGAAGTTAGTAAACTAAAATGTAAGCAGAATATTGTATTCTGGTTGAAAAAATACTTAAAATTATGGTTATATACCCATTATATTTTGTCAAATGATTGGTTACCAACATGAAAAATCCCCGGTCGATTTAAAAGTGATCTCGTCAGGATCAAATATGCGCATTTTCAGAATGAATAGGAAACAGTTGATTTTTTCACACTATTCTGAAGCAATTCAATGATTAGCAAGCATTGATGTTGAAATATATGGTGGATGTTTGCTTCAACAAAAGACGAACTGTTTTACAACATAATTCAGGCTGGAAACTAATGATTGATTTGAATGGTTAGATACTACTCACATGTGTCACTAGTGCTTACTAGTTGGATTAAGGCTATCATGTCGTGCACCTATTCTACAAGTTTCAAATACTGCACTTAGGACTAAACCACTATGTTGGCTAGTATCCGACAGTCGATTCATTCACATAATGCAGTTCTGCAAAAAGGAATCAGTTGTGGCCTTACTTACATGTTTAGAGCCCACAGAAAGTAGACTAAGGTAATATATGATATTCCATGGCTAATATGAATACACGAATAAACCAGAAACTGGAAAACTCACAATCTGCACTAGTTAACTAACTGACTGTAGTCTAATGTAAAGGTGAACTTAATACTACTTTAAAGTACTTTATCGTTGTTTAGTAAGTGTATTACCAGCATGCTACTTAGTAGCTTTATCCCTTAGAAAGTACAAAAGTACAAAGTAAAATCAGACGTTAGCCTGTTAGAAAAACATAAAACATGGTGGTCTAGTTTCTGATGAAAACATTTTTAGTATTTTCGGTTCATATTTTCTCTACGCTTTTTAAAAATGGATTGTTTTTGATTTTTTGATTTTGATTTTGATTTACAGCTTGATTCCACACCGTATTTTCAGTACAAGTGTGGAATTTTCAGCATGGATATCGGTAGCCCAAATTTAGGCCGACCATAGATATCGGGTGTGCGCCGGCAGGGGATCGAACCCTGGACCATGTGCATGGTCGGTGAGAGTCCTAACCACTGTGCCACCGACGCACTGTAAATTGATTTCGGTGAGTTACTATGAATCCCATGATTTAATCAAACATTGACATGAAATCTTCTATGAATTTCTATTTGAGTTTTATACACCTTTTACAGTTAATCTATTTTTTTTTAAATGTCTTTATTGTACAAACAATCAGCCTGTCTTCAGACATAAGAAGTATAAAGCACTACCTGCAACAGTATAGCAATTATACTGTCAGTGTTACAACGTGTTTCATAAAATATCTCTGAATAATACAAAGCAGAAAAGTAAAAAGGTGGATATTCTGTAACTTCACTAGGTCAGCCTTTAGTTTTTTGAATTGTAAAACAAACAGTATTCTTTGTGCATTGATAGTCATGTAATAGTCGATGGAATCTCATTGACCATTTGATCAAGGTTTTTCTTCTCAGTAACTGTTTATGGACTAGTCTAGTTTATAAGTTAGTCATTAGTGGTTACGTCTTAGTATTTGTTCATTTGTGTAATATCTTTACTGCGTATAACGAGAGTGAAACGTTAACTGGTCCTATTGTGGCTGGTACTACTGATAAGGTTTATTAGTAGTATATAAGGCGACGTTCATCGGTATAAAAACATCAAATAGCAGGTAGTTACATTCGTTGTCAGAGAAAGCAAATGATAAAGCATTGTGGAGATACATGGGAGAAGTGAGGGGAACACAAAGAAACAAAAGACGAAGGCTAGAAGTAGCACAACACGGAAGATCTATGGAAATGGGGCTTTTAAGATAAAGTGTACATAATTTGGCTACATCAAGATACCAAATTGCTAATATACATTCCTTTACCAAGCCTTCATCTTCTACCTTTTCACTATTGTATTTAAGTACAGTTGACAGATAAGATTTTTCCTTGAAGAGATGCCTGTGTTGTGATAATCATTATCTTTTAAATTTTATTCATCAGACTATCTCAGACATTTATGTAATGAAATTCTAACAAAGAGAAGTTCTTACAATGAAATCTACTGTTATTGTAGTGGACATTATTTATATAAATTAAAACTGTACGTTAACATATTTCTTTGTACAAAATATTTTTGCTACTTTTAAATTGTAAGTAGTTTGATTTTTCACAGAAAGTTTGTGAACAATGGAAATCAATTTTACAAAACAATTTCAATCCTATAAACGCAGACGTTTGTAGTTCACTTTCCATTTATTTTTCACCATCATTAGAGTGGTACACATATTACATTTAGTGTATAAGAGTTATACCACTGATCGTAGTAATTAGTAATGCCAGAAAATAATTAAAGCAACTACGCAAAACTGGAGAGATTTGACTAATTGCTGTGCAGTGTAGCATAAAACTTCCATGGATTAAATTCACTTGCTCACTGATTTTTCAGTATGCTTGTAATACAATCAGTCATAAGTGAGATGAGAAGGGATGAAAGAAAAAAAATAGTAGGGAAAATAACTCACGATGAATACGGGAAACGACGTAGAATGGGGTGATTAATTATTCTGTATGAACATAGTTTGTTTCCGCCTTTGTTCAGTACCATATAAATGATTTTCTCTTCTGCTGAATATGAACACTAGTCATACACGCTTGGAATTAGAAATATTATGTCGAAATGTTAAATATGCTCTTTTCACACTTATGTTTTCGTAACAGGTTTTTACACTTATCTGATAATAAGAAGTTTCACAGTAGCTGGTTACAGTATACGACATCTTATTACGGTTCCATAAACTTTGATAAGTATTTGGTGAAAACCATTTTAACTGTGTGCCAGTTTCTCCTTTCATAATCTTGGTTATGTCATGGTCTCGCGTGTACTATTGACAAGATTCATAATTAGTAGTTTTTCTTGTTTGTGTTTCGCAAAGGACTCTTGAGAGGCAGTTACTCATAGTAGGTTTTAGTGTTTGGGTTCCCACATTAACTCTTACGAGTTTTCGGTTTCATTTTGGTGAAGTTGGTGTGTTATGTTCTCTCAGTGTATGCAAGTGGTGTGGGTTAGTAACAATATTTATAAGTAGTATACGGATGCTGATACAAATATGTATGTCATCTTCAAGAATATCGAATAGCGCTAAGATGAATTTTACTGGTGAAGAGAAAAGAAATGAAGGATTCTTGTTGAACAACGTGCAAGGAAGACAAAGAAGCACAGTACCAAAGACATAAAAAGGCACAATACCGAAGATATGTGCCAGTTGGGATTCTAATATTTGATAAATTAATTTTTCCTATATCTGTATATCGAGTCCCCAAAATGCTCCTGTTTTCTGTGGTTACAATGGTATTCACATAGGAATTTCATATGGTATGCATGTTATGCACACTTTGGTCGCGAATGTTGTTGGAGTCCTGGCATTCGTGAGGTCTATTGCCAAAGGTGGATAAACTAGAAGTGAATTCAAAAATTAGTCTGATTTTTAGGAGGGATATAGGCATGTGATGCACTATTGGTTCAATGTATGACACATAATAACAGAAAGTGATTTTTGTACTTTTATTTCACATCTCCACTCAATTACTGACTAGGCTTATTGTTATTATTGTTTCCTTTACTTCCTAAAGGAACATAGGGCTTCAGACGCACGTCTGCATTGCGTTCACTTCTCTGACAACGTTTTCACCTGGCTCCACGTCTGGCCACATGGTTTCATCTCCTCTTCACATCACCTCCTCTATGTCACCCCACCCTCAAATTGACGACTGACTCTCCGCCTCCCGTCCGGGTCCACTGGAGTGATGGCTTCGCTTGTGAAATCACCTGGTGGTTTGTTTTCTCTGAGTATGACCAGTACAATCCACCTCCATTTCTCCCTGCAGATTTGTTGCACAATCGGTTCCTGCTGGGCTGTTTTGCTCATTGCCAGAGATCCCTCTCTGTTGCTGATATTTTCTGGCCGGCCATTTGATCTTCAGAGAAGCATTGAGTGAAGACAGCTATCAGTGAAGTTCTATAGTTTGTTTGAACTGCCCTTCGTGAAACGGCGCGGCGCCAAGTCTGTGATCATTATATTAAGTAGCACTGACTTCACATTGGAGTTGAAAATCCGGATCTTATTTTTCATGTTGAGTGCTGTTGACCTCCACACAGACTTCACAGTAATAAAAGCTTATCTTGCTTTCCCGGTACTCGCTTTGATATCCTCATCAGCTCCGTCCACCTATGGTTGAAACGATGCTTCCCAGGCAGGTAGGTAGTTAGGTGGGTGAAGGAGGTTGATTCTTTCAGATTTCTCCCATTTACGCTGACTGATTGTTATCTGTTGTTGTTGCTGTTGCTGTTGACCAGGAACCTTCATCACCTCTGTTTTGTCTATGTTCACCTGAAGGCCCATTTTTGATGCTTCTTCTATCGCCAACTTGTTGCTTTTCACTTACGCATCTTCCAGTTTGGGGAGAATCAGACATGTATCATCAGCGAAGTCCAGATCCTTCAAGTTTTTTGTTTGGGTCCATTTTATGAGTATCTTCTCGTTGCCCGGTCCACTGTCTGTCTCATTATCCAGTTTGCTGCAATCAGGAAAATCATTGGAGATAGTAGGCAGCCAGCCAGCCTTATCTCACTCCCGTCTTCACTTCGAAGGATTCCGTGAGTTTCCCGTTGTTGATTATTTGGCATGCAGCGCTGTCGTGTAACTGTTAAATGAGATCTATAATTGTTGACCGCACCCTGACTAGGCTTGTTTCATGGAAATTTTTGAGGACATCTTAACCATAGGAGGTGAATTAATTTGTACACCTTGTGTGCGTTTTGTCTTACTCTAGAAATTAGAAGTCAATTTTAACGGATCATGCTTCAATGCATCTTTGTCATATGTTAACATGTAGCGTTTTTTTAGATTTTTCCTTTTTTTAACTGACACGACACTAGAAAACGAATTCAACTTGCTATTCAGCAAAAACTTTTATTTAACTAAACTAAACAACTTTGATTA